ACCAAATATATAATACATACTATATTTAACTATATAATAATATAAGTGCTACAAAGAAAAATTAAAGCAGGGCTGGATGACGAGTGACCAGGGGAGGTGGAGGGTGCTGTTTGTTATATAGAATACATTTTGTAGTTGCATTCACTACGAAGAATGGTCTGGAGCCTGTCCGAGAAGGTGCCCTTTCAGCAGCAAACTGGATGAAGAGAAGGAAGGAATGAGCCAGGCAGATATATGAAGGGAGAATGTTCCCAGCCAGAAGGCCCAGGAAAGGCCCTGAGATGGGCGAGCTGGAAACCAGTAAAGCTTAGCAGTGAGCACACGACTGTTAGATTATTCTGCCCATTTGTCATAGTGTTCAAAACATTTCATAATTTGAGCCAGCCCTGATGGCCTAGTGGTTCAAGTTAGGTACTCTCACTGCTTCAGTGGCCTGGGTTCATTTTCCGGTCTCGGAACCACACCACCCACCTGTCAGTTGCCATGCTATGGCGGCGGCTCACGCAGAAGAACCAGAATGACCTACAAGTAGGATATACAACCATGCACTGGGCCTTTGGGGAGGAAAAAAAAAAAAACATTTCATAATTTAAAACATTTTTTAAGAAGTAAAAATTAAACACTGATAGCTTTATCTTTGTGTATATAGGACTCAGATTATGTGGTTCTGGACATTCTTCTCTTTTTTAGATATTTAATAAAAAGTCAGTGTGAACTATTGAAACAGATACTAGAGAAACTAGTATGTAGAGAAACAATTTTTTAATATATCAAAACATTTTTTAAACTTCTTATAGCCATATTGACTCACAGTTATTAAAATATATTCTTTCTCTATTATCCTAACAGTATGTCATGAAATATATGCATATTTTATTATTGCAGTACATGCCCATTTTTATCCACTGGAAAGTAAATTAGTAAATATTACTTCAAAGTTATAAGGAAAAGGACTCTGAAAGGTTATTGTCAGCCTAGTCTAAGATGTGTACCAGTAGGAGAGTCACTATGATCCATGAGTAAAACCATGCTACTTGAAAAAAATAATAAAAAATAATAATAACAAGCCTGAACTCACCATCAAATCGTGTACCTTGGAATGCCCTTCCCACTGTGGTCCTCACCTGTAAAGTGATGGGCTGGCTATTAACTTATCTCTAAGTCCTTTGATTCACTCTCTTTCCCTTTCTGTCTCGTATTTTTAGTTATACCTTTATGAATTCTAATGAAAATAACTGCTTTGTAACCAGTCATTTTCACCATAACTGGCTGAGCACTAAATTGTCTCTTCTTTCTTCAAACAGGATTCTGTGGATAGCTTGACCTAGAACAATGGTTCTCAACCAGAGGCAATCCAAACCCAGCCACTCCACTTCCAGGGGACATTTGGCAGCATCGGGAGACATATTTGCTTCTTGTGACCGTGTAGGGGTGCTGCTGGCATCTGGTCGGGGGGGCTAGGGATGCTGGTAAGCACCCTACAGTGCACAGGACAGCCACTCACAAAGAAGAATGATCCAGTCCAAAATGTCAGTAGTGCCGAGGATAAGAACGTCGGGTCTAGAGAAATCGGAAAAGATGAAGAAGGGAGAAAATGAGTAAGGCGTTGTCTACCTATGATGTCCATGTGGGATTTCCCACCTAAGAAGCAACATAGCAACTTTTGTCTTGGTTGATGCTGGTCCTCTTCTATTGATCACTCTATGAAGACTTGGGCGTGTGACTCAAATAACCCCATTAGACCCAAGCATAATGGGATCAATGAAAACTGGAGGACAAATTCAAACATGTGCCATAACTATGAGAGTATTCTTTCTGTTGTAAGACTTGAAAAAGTCTCCAGATCTTTGGTTTAATTTAATCAACAATACGTTCATCTGCATAAGGCATTCAGCAGCAAAGTAAACTTTTTTTCCCCGAGTCTTTTGTTTCCAAATCAATGGGAAACAAAGGATATCCCGCTCTATTCAAACAATTTCAATGATTCTCAAATAAACGTGGGAGCAATAGTTGGGCCATTTAAAATATACAGTGATGAAAAAGCATACTTATTAACCTTGTAAACATTCTATAAAAGTACAAGGCAACCTTTATAAAGAATATCCAAGTGTCCTTTTTATATAATAGCCCTTTGTACTTTGAAATGTTCATGCATCTGTAAAATAACAATTGAACAGAACAGACTAGAAGAATGAAATTTCCAAGTCTTCTGGTAATGGTGCTAACATTATTTTTCAGTTTCTTAACACTAAGAAGAGTAAGTTTCCTCATCTCAAGATCAGTTTCACTTACAAAAAGCACTTTGGACCCATATTTAACCAACCCTCAGAGGGATTCAAAAGAAAGCTAATTGAAAACACTGAGTTTTCGAACCTCTCAAACGATGACCCAGGTTTTTCCTTGAAAACACCAACAGCGGCAGCTTGGCAGGAAGCAGGAATTAGACAAGAGAATTAATTGAAATCTGCCCTCCAAATTGGAAGAAAAGCCTCCAATAAGAAAACTGTGAGCTTTGAAATCACTGCATGTTATATTAGTCATCATTTAAATGGCCTCCAGCCTTATCGTAGGGCATTTTCTCCAGCTTCTGAGCTAATTCAGTAATTCACCAAGTAATTCACCGAGAAACGTGCTGTAATAGTAAGAACAGCCCACCCTTTCAGAGGAGAGGGAAACCTCTCCTGTCTGTCTCCATTCTCTCTCTGTTCTATCTGCATATTTTGCAATCCCCTCCAGTGTTCCAAAGGCCAATGAAATCAGTCTCCAGGAAGGATACCCAGCCAAATACATTCACTGCTTAACTGTATTTGTCTCTTTCTTAGCCCTTTTACCCACTGATTTCAAATCTCTCTTTAAAAGGCCAGCTATGGCAGACCTCAATTGAATAAAGTTATGAAAAGACAAGCTGGAAAACCACGCAGGGGAGATTTCCTGAAGAGGAGAGCAGTCAGATGTTTTCATCTAAACCTTTAGGCCTCACTGCCGGCTACAGAGACAAGTGGAAGGAAGCTAACAGCGATAATCGAATGAGCTCAAGTTGGTTTTATAGGAAAGTGTGTGTGTTGGGGAGTGTGGGGAATACAGGCATTCTGCCCAGGAGAACCTAGAGAGAGAGAAAACCTCTCTTCTAAAATCCCTGAAGTTTGTTGCCGGTGATTCAGTACATATCTGACAAAAAAAAAAAAAGTTGCCTAACTGGTTTGGCTGTTTCAGCTGGCTACCACCAAGAGAAGTAAACTGAACATTATCGTTTCAGTGATGTCTGCCTTGGACATTATTTTCAAGTAAATATTTATAATTTCAATGCTATTTGATTGCTGCCACTGCTGTCTTGGAATTGGGTTGACTGACACGCTGTGTTGGATGAAGCCGACTCCATAGCAACAAGCCAGGCGAGGCTGCACCTTCCACCGTGGCCACTGGGAGGGGGTGGGGCAGTATTTGGCGACTCTGGCCGGCAGGACTTTGCAGTTATCTTGTCAGATGGTAGCTGAATGGAGAAACGTTCTTCTTTTGCCCCCTGGCTCCTCCGGGTGGTCGGGATTTCTGCTGATCGCTTTGCACATCTCAATGAATTCGACACTCAGGCATTTTTCTCTCGCTCTTCATTCAGGAAGTGGCTAGCGGAGCCTGAGATTCTTTCTGCTCCGATGATATAAACAAATTGCAGAGGAAGTCAAGTCAAACTTTCCCTGCTTCTCTTGTTCTCCCAACTAGCAATTCAGAAAACAGAGCCAATTTTTTTTTGGATGCCTTTTAAAGATTGCTCTTAACTGGAGAGGCAGAAACCCTTGTGGGTTTTTTTAAAACAAAGATACTTCTAAACTTATTTTTTCAACAAAATAGAAACGCCCTAGAAAGTTTTTGGTTTTTTTTAAGGCTGTTTTTTGAGACTTTTCAAACCAGATTGTTCCCTTGACATTGCACAGTTACCTAATTGTTCTTTCCTTTGAATTTCAACCAGGAGAGCAATCATGAGCTTTGCGTGGACGGTAGCTAAACCTGAATCGAGGCTTCTAGTGCCCTAATTCATGGCCAAGGAAAGCTAATAGTCGTGATTCAGTCAAGGTGCCAGTACAGGCATAGACCAGACAGAAAGGAGACATCTATCTGTTTAATCTGCAGATGCTGCTTGAAAAATCACACATAATTAATCCCTTCTCCTAGTGGAGGCTATTTGAAGCTTTATCACCAGCTTGTAAGATTTCATCTCTGAGTTTCACTGATGGCTCTGAGAGTGAACATTTTCAAACTGGAGGCACCTGATAATCTGGTGACATGCTTACTATGCCTATTCTAGTCATACAATAAAAGAAGCTCTGCGCTAAATTACTGAAGGAAAACAGAACGGAGATACATAACAAATATTTGCAGAGTGGCCCCAAGGTGGCTTCCCAGACTGGATGTTCTGTTATGTCAATCCTGGTGCAAGAAATAAAGAAGATGTGATGGCCACACAAATATCAGTGTGCCTATCTGTTTGTCCTCAAATGGCCCTCGCTGTACAGAGGTGGGTAGTCAACTTTCAACACAGCCCTATTCTCTAGGGAAGCATGTTAGTGGGCAAATCCAGGCTCTAACTACTTACTGAGCCTCTATGTTCCCTTCTGTAAAATGGGGATATGTTTTAACATGGTAGTTCTTTTATATGGGTTAGAAACAATAGAGAGAGAGAAATAAAGATATATCTCACTTACCCCAATGTGTGGTGCATGTTAGCTTTTCAGTTAAAGGTAGTTATGGTTATTAAAACTCATAACACTATGTGAGTTCTCCTGGGTCAGGAAAAAATAGCATTGGTAGAATCTGAACTTATATATAGTATTTGCAACGTTACTTCTATGTCAGAAAAGGTTGGCTCAGTCATGACCGTCTCCTCCCTCTTTATCTATAAATACATATATACTGTAGATATTTATAGACTAATAGCTATATAAAATCATTTATGCAAGTTGTAATTGACTGTGTAATTATTGAATAAACAGTAGATGAAAGGAAAATGTGAAGTTCTGAAGGCTGGCTTCAATTCATGTTTTATCTTATATTCATTAAACTGTTTATTTACTTGTCTACATTCTCCTCTCTGTTGATTATTTTCGAGACATGCATTTCCCTTGAGCAACATCAGATGAGAAAATGACTTCATATGCATTGCAGAGGCGACAGAGAGACAAACAGAAAACTCAGAGGCAGTGGCTTGCTTGGAGGCCTCCAAGGTATGGGTGTCAGTGTCAGAAGTTGTGTGTGCTTTGTTTGTTTGAAGCTTTGATGTAGAAACATGCGATACCTACAATGCTCCTGAATTTCTGTAAAGCAAATAGAGCTACCATGCATTGAAGCAATCACCATATATTTATAGAATTCAACAACTGCCTTCAACAAACTTTATCAAATACCTACTGTGCCAGGCACTAGGTTACAAAAGGAATAGTCATCAGTGCTGGCTTGCCCAATATGCAGACGAGACACACTTAAAGGACCAGAAAAGCAGGGACACTACCACAACCCCTCCTTGCCTGCCAAAGGAGACAACTAGAAAATTCAGACAATTTATTTTTAATTTTAACGTACACATGTGTTTTTGTCTTTTTGAAAAAACATAACTTTATTTTTCATTTTAGTTTGATTTTTATTTTAATTTTTATTTGGTTACAGGTCCTGAGATAGTGTGGATTATTGTGCAGAAAATACCAGTCTCCTATTCCTGTTTTGGGTGGAATATACTTCCCTGCCCCACTGATGTTGGACTTGGCCATGTGGCTTTGTTGGCTAACAGGCTGTTAGCAAGCATGATACAAGCAAAGCCTTGAAATGTGTTTGCACAGTGGGTCTGGCTCTTTTGCACTTCCAGCATTGCCATGAGAAGCATATGCCTGCTCATCCAAGGGGGATGAAAGATACCTGGAGCGGACCTAGATGCAACCCACAACTGGAAGCCCAGCCCAGCCCAGTCTAGATCATCTCAACTCCAGCCAACCTGCAGATGCTTTCGTGAGATTAAATAATTAGTTTTAAGCCACTGCGTTTTGGTGTGATTTTGTTACATGGCATTATTATTATAGCAATAGCTGACTGATATAGGCCCCACAACATTTATAGGTCTTAATTTGGCCATGGGGATACCAATATGGATACTAAATTAGAAAAGAAAAAAGAAAGCAAATTTAATTTAAAAAAATGCTTCAAGCACTTGCCTTACTGATTTGACTTTGTTATGTAAATCAAGGCCAATTATAGCCTTTCATGTACTAAATGAAACTTGAGGCCCATGATGTTTAAATGAGGCAGCATATGGTTAACGAGTAAGAGAGCTACGAGGCATTCATCTGTTTATTCAGCACTAGATAAAGCCTTCATTCTACAAATGCTTCATTCCAAAAAATTTGTTCACTCCTTAAAGAGATACTCATGGAGCTGTTTGCAGGTAGACCTTGAAGATACGGTATTGAGTATTAATAACTAACCCGTATCAAGTGCTTACCGCAGGCCAGGCACTGTTCTTAGTGCTTTATCTACATCACCTTATTTAATGCTCAAAACTTAACGTTGCAGTTACTATGATTATCCCCACTTTACAGATGAGAAAATTGAAGACTCAAGGGGATAAGTGACTGACGCAAGCTTCCACAACTTGTAATTGACAAAGCTGGGGTGCAAACCCAGGCTGTCTCGTTTCAGACTCCATGCTCTTACGTACCATGATAAGACATGCCAGTTGACCCACATCCTTGCTAGCATTTGATATATCAGTTTTTTAAAATTTTAGCTATTCTAATAGGTTTCTAGTTGTAACTCACTGCAGTGACTAAAGATGTTGAACACATCTTCTCATTTGCTTATTTGTCATCAGTCTATATTCTTTATTTGTGTCTGTTCCAATCTTTTGCTTATTTAAGTCTCTGTTGGCTTTTTGTTATGGTTCCTACTTACAGCTGAAAGCATCCCCAACTGATTTAATGAAATTGAAACAGAGAACTGTTAGATAACCAAGGTCACAAAGCCAATGAATAGAGCCATCAGAAATTAAAACCAGATCTTATCGACCCCAAAATCTATACTCTTAATCATGATGTTATATTGTCATTACAGTTTCCACAAGTAAGCAAAAAACGTACAGCAAACGTATTTATCTAGTTTCCCTGATTTGATCCAAGTAGAGTAACAAGGCTATTTAATATTGCCTCAAACTATAGGACACTAAATCTACACTCAAATTTTAGCAGATACTTAGTTGGAAATTTCTGGGAGGTCATGGGAAGTACTAAGGATTCATTAATATTGATGATGTTGTTGGAAATCTGCTAAATGTGGATATCTTTTAGAAGAGTTAATAAAGAGAGACCCCATTTCTTGAGGGTCACTTCAGCAAAATATTTATGGAGTATCTACAGGGTGCCTTGTAATTTACTTCCATTATCTCACTTAGTCTCTCTTGTCACCCAGCAAGTTGAGCCATGCGCCCCTTTTGAGAGATGGGGAAACTGCAGCTCAGAGAGGTTAAGTAGCTTGTACAGGGTGACTCAGCTTGTGGTAGAGTCAGGATTGAATTCAGCTCTGCCATAGTCCAGAGCCTGCACCCTTGACCATTAGGGGGACGGCATGGTAAAATGTGCCCCATATGTGATATGGTTACGTGATGGTAGAGGTGACATTGGATATGGCAACAACTGTGACACTTTATACGTAAATGAATAAAGTTTGGGAAGTGCTCTGGTGGTGGATATGGAGTGAAAGGAACATGGGTCAATTCCTGCTCCAGCCCCATCTAGCTGTGATACTAGGCAAGTCTCACAATCTCTCTGAACCTCAGTTTCTTCCTCTGTAAAATGGAGCCAATACTAATACCAGACTCACAGAGTTGTTCTGGGGACTCAATGGGGCAAAGCTACTGGGCTCGAGGCAGGCTGTCCAGCCAGCCCTTGAAAAACATTTACAGTTATTATTTTAATTATTGTTCCATACTTCCTCCCTATGTGCAAAGGAGATGGTTTTCTTTGTTTTGATCTGGGTATTTCTCCTGAACAATTATGTACACTTTCAGTACTGGAAGAAGAAATATGTAATAATCCAGAGAGCAAACAGTCTCTGCAAAAGCAATGTCCTGAATTTTGCTAAAAGCAGTCTGTGAGTTTTCCATGCCATGGTCTAGTACACAGTGAACAGAGCACCAGGGAGGAAGAACAGAGGGTTTTGCTTTCCCTGGCTTGCAACTTCCTTCTGTGACCCTCACCCTGTCCCCTGCCACTTCTTTCCTTCTTGTTCTCATTGATCTAGTTCTCCCTTCTCAATCTTATTCTGTAGTTACACTAGCACTTGTTTTTGTGTTAAGATAGATCCCTGACCTCTCCCCTCAAAAGTAGTTTCCTGGTTTAAAGGAGAAAGGTCACGCATAATTGGGGATTTCCCACTTTCCAAGAAAGACCTTGTGGTAGGTAATATTCTAACATGGCCCCAGGGATCCCCACCTCCTAGATTCACGTCCCCTGGAGTGTGGGCTGGCCTAGGGACTTTCTCACAAATAGGATACAGCAAAGATGACGGAATATCACTTCTGTGATTAGGTCACAATGGATTGTGACTTCCATCTTGCTAGCAGCCTCTCTCTATTGCCTTCTCAGCTTGGACAATTTCAGGAAGCCAGTTGCCACGTTGGAAAGTCCCATGTGGCAAGGAATTAAGCAAGGGTGGCCTTTGGCCAACAGTGAGAAAAGACTTGAAGCTGTCAATCCCTTGAGGAACTGAGTCCTACCAATGGCCACATGAGCTTGGAAGCAGAGTCTTTCCCAGTTGAACCTTCAGATGAGACCCCAGCGTAAGCTGATACCTTGAATGCAGGCTTGTGAGAGACTTAGCTAGGCAGGGTCCAGATTCTGACCCATAGAAACTGTGACATTAAACATCTTGTTATAAGCGCCTATTTTTATTTTTATGGATAATTCGTTACACAGCAATAGATAACTAATACAGACTGACATAGTCAATCAATAATGAATAGAGAGAAAGAAAAGAAAGAGTTGGATCAGGAGCTGGCATCTGTGGATTCTGGCCACATTCTGCCACCTACTACATAGGTGATCTTAGGAAAGGCACTTCCTTCCCTGTCTCAATGTCTTCTTCCATCAAATGAGAGGGCTGAATTAGGGATTGTAATTTTTTGTAGCTTTTCTCTTTAAAAATCTAATAATGTTTTTGTAGCTTTTCTCTTTAAACACTCTGGGCTCACATTCCAACTTGGCAACAGTCAGTTAGAACTAGATAGAAGCCGTCCTCCTGAAACGCGGCCTGGAGTTTCAGTTCACCTCTGTCCTCACCTGAACCACCAGGCACCGCAGGTGAGGCAGCGATTCCCGGCGGAAGTGATCCCTTGCATCAGTCCGGTTCCTTTGAGGAGCAGATTAGCAGATGCCAAGTTGGGAAACGACACACATGACATTTACTGGGGGAAACTTATAGGAGGGGAATATGGGCAGGAAGCTGGAAGAACCCGGGAGAAAAGTTAGATCACAACACTGGTCTAACCCCTGCAGAGGAGAAAAGGAAGAAAGAACAGGTGGGTAGGAAAAGTCTGAGACTATGGCACCATTCTAAGAAAGTTTGGGCAGGGCCCATGTCTCCCAGGAATGAGTCTGCTTTAGTATCCCTGTCACGTGTGGTCATGGGTAAGGAGCAACCGGAGGGAACCGCCGTCTTGGCACAAATGTGGATTTCAGAGCTCAGGATCTGGGGCCCTCAGTCAATTTCAGTCCCTGCTGTGGGAGACCTGAGAGGCACATTTTCATGGCGTCCACATCCTCCTAGGCTCCTTCTAGTCTAAAAATCCCACCGAAATGTGGGGCCCACCAGATGAATGTGGCCCACAGACGGACGTCGATTGGCTCATGGCATCTAACGTTAGCTACAACACCAAAATCACCATCCACAGAAGAAAAACTGGACATCACTTTTGCTCCATGAAAGACATTGGTAAGAGAATGAAAAGACAAGCCACAGACTAGAAGAAAATATTTGCAAATCACGTATCTGACAAAGGATTTGTACCCAGAATATGTTTTTTAAAACTCTCAAAATTCAATAACAAGGAAACAAACCACTCAATATTTTAAATGGGCAAAAGATTTGAACAGACACAAATAAAGAATGTATATGGTTGACAAAAAAGCAAATAAAAAGATGTTCAATATCTTTAGTCACCACAATGAGACACCACTACAAACCTACTAGAATGGCTAAAATTTTTTAAAAATGGATATATCAAGTGCTAACAAGGATGTGGAGCAACTGGAACTTTCGTACATTGCTGGTGGGAAAGCAAAATGTTCCACCACTTTGTAAAATAGTTGGCAGTTTATTAGAAAGTTAAATATTGCTTACCATATGACTCAGCAATCCCACTCCTAGGTATTTACCCAAGAGTTATGAAAACTTATGTTCACACCAAACCTGCATACAAATGTTTACAGCAATTTTATTCAAAATTGCCAAAATCTGAAAACAAGCCAAATGCTCATCAACCAGTAAATGGATAAGCAAATTATGGTCCATCTATATAATGGGAAGAGAGAACAAAAAGTAATGAACTACTGACTCATGTAACAATATGTGTAAAGCCCAAAGGCAATTTGCTAAGTGAAAGAAGCCAGATGCAGAAAAGTACAGACTATATGATTCCATTTATGTAACATTCTGGAAAAGACAAAACTATGGGGATGGGGTACAGATCAGTGGTTTCCAAAGATTAAGGATAGGGGTAGGAATTGAGTATAATAGGAGAGCACAAGGGATATTTCAGGGTGATTTGGGGTGATGGGGCTATTTTTACTCCAATTGTGGTGGCACTTACCTATCTCTATGTATGTGTCAAAACTCATTGTCTGACTTCTCCAAAGAAGATATACAGGTGGCCAACAGGCACATGAAAAGATGTTCAACATCATTAATCATCAGGGAAATGCAAATCAAAACCACACTAAGATATCACCTCACGCCTGTTAGAATGGCTATAATCACCAAGACCAAAAACAACAAATGTTGGAGAGGCTGTGGAGAAACAGGAACCCTCATACACAGCTAGTGGGAATGCAAACTGGTGCAGCCTCTGTGGAAAATGGTATGGTGATTTCTCAAAGAATTAAAAATAGAGATG